AATGCCTGGCCTTTGGAGAGCTGGGCTGCCAGGAGCAAAATTTACAGAAGCCAGAATCTCTGCCCACCCCCAGCCTGACCTGTGAGGGTTTTTGGAACATATGTAATGATGATGATGATGATGATGATGATAATATGGGGCCTTGGTATCCGCTGGAGTTTGGTTCCAGGAGCCCCTGTGGATACTAAAATCCATGAATGATCAAGTCCTGTTATATACAGTGGGGAAGTAACGTGGCTTTCCTTACATAAAATGGCAAAATCAAGGTTTGCTTTTTGGAATTTGTATAATAATAATAATAATAATAATAATAATAATAATAAATTTTACTAATTATTATTTTAAATTGTAAGCTGCCCAGATTGGTTTACCATTGGGCGGGGTATAAATAAATTTTATTATTATTATTATTATTATTATTATTATAAAATTTATTTATAGCCCGCCCTTTGGGGACCCCATCAGGGCGGCTTACAACAATAAAACCATACAATATATCCCAAAACATAATCTCTCCCCCCCTTAAAACAGTATTAAATCAATATATCTTGGGTTATTTTCAAGTCGTGGATAGTTGAATCTGTGGATAAAGAATCCATGGATACAGAGCGCTGACTGTAATCGTCTCCAGCATCGAGGAGGTTGCCATTGCCTTTCCTTGAGGCTGAGAGCATGTGACTTGCTCAAGCTTACCCAGCAAGTTTCATAGTCAAGCTGGAAATCGAACCCTGGTCTCCAGAGTTGTAATCAAATGCTTCAAGCCATTATAATGAGTTTTCCCCCCCTATATCTTTTGTCGGGGTGTGGTCTTCCCCCGGTGCTGACTGAGAAAGGGCGGTTGGTGTGTTCTGATCCGTGGTGTCGGTTTGGTCTGTCATTCAGTGGAACGGTGGAGGCATTTAATATACTTATGCAAGTATAAGTATGTGTAGCCTAATGAAAATATAAAATCTTGTGAGCCCTGGAGGTAGTAACTCTCATGCACTATGGAGGGGGCATTATGGTGGCTGGGAATCCTACACACACACACACCAATACCCCCTCCCCTTACACACACGCATCACCACTAGATACATGTGAAAGGGATCTAGGAGTCCTAGTAGACCACAAGTTGAATATGAGTCAACAGTGTAATACGGCAGCTAAAAAGGCCAATGCGATCCTAGGCTGCATCGATAGAAGTATGGTGTCTAGATCAAGGGAAGTCATAGTGCCACTCTATTCTGCTTTGGTCAGGCCTCACCTGGAATAATCCTGTGTCCAGTTCTGGGCACCCCAGTTCAAAAAGGAGGTTGAAAAACGAGTGTGTCCAAAGGAGGGCAACTAAAATGGTGAAGGG